TCATGGGAGAGTATGGGTACCGTACTGAGGTGGAGTACGGTAGGTGTTGATGGATGAAGCTCATAAGTCTCGTTTCTCCATCCACCTAGGGGCAACGAAGATGTACATATATCTTCGACCTGATTAATGGTAGACCTGCATGAAGAGAGACGTAGCTTGGTAAGTGGAGAGATGCCTAACCTGCAGGAAGTTCAAGGCGGAGCACCAGAGGCCCCATGGCAAGATGCATCCATTATACATTACCGTGTGGAAATAAGAGGATATCACTATTGACTTCATTACTAAGCTCCCCAGGACCGCACGTAGAGTGGATTCGATTTGGGTCGTAGTGGATCGGCTGACCAAGAGCGCGCATTTCATACCGATCCAGGAGAGTATATCAGCTAAGAAGCTAGCCGATATTTATGTGCGCGAGGTAGTGGCACAGCATGGAGTGCCTGTATCAATAATATCAGATCGAGACGTCCGGTTCACTTCCAGGTTCTAGAAGCGGTTTCATGACGAGATGGGGACTCGTCTTCATTTTAGCACCGCTTTCCACCCTCAGACGGACTGGCAGAGCGAGAGGACGATTCAGACCCTCGAGGACATGCTTCGGGCATGCGTCCTAGATTTCGGTGGCAGTTGGGATACGTATCTTCCGTTAGCGGAATTTTCGTATAACAACAATTACCATGCTAGCATTGATCGCCCTTCCTTCGAGATGCTCTACGAGAGGAAATGTAGGACCCCGATATGTTGGGGCAAGGTTGGTTAGAGAATCATCGGGAGTACTAAGGTGGTGCTCAAGACCACAGAGTTTATCCAGCAGGTCCGTAGCAGACTACAGACTGCGCAAAGTCGGCAGAAGAGTTACGCTGACAAGAGGCGTTCGGACCTAGAGTTTCAGGTGGGCGATATGGTCCTCCTGAAGGTATCACCCTGGACGGGTGTCATCAGATTCCGGAAGCGGGGCAAGTTGGGCCCCATATTCATTGGTCCGTTTAGGGTTTTGGCCCGGGTGGGCCGGGTTGCTTACCGTTTGGACCTTCCAGCAGAGCTCAGCCAGATCCACAACACTTTTCATGTTTCTTAGTTGCGAAAGTGTTTGGTGGACGATTCAGCAGTTGTACCATTGGAGGATATTCAGGTTGATAGTAGCCTGAATTACATCGAGAGTCCCATTGCGATTTTGGATCGGAAGACGAAGGCCTTGAGGAACAAGGTGGTTCAGCTAGTGAAGGTGCAGTGGCAACACCGGAAGGGTTCAGAGTGGACGTGGGAGTCCGAGGAGGAAATGCGGAAGCATTATCCAGCGTTGTTTTCAGATGCGGTAGCAGCAGACTTCGAGGATGAAGTCTGATTCAAGTGGGGGTGAATTGTAACTCCCGTCTCTCGAGGTATTAATTATTTAAATTTTTCTTAAATTATTGTTGGGCTTATTATGGAAGGAAAAGAATATTGTTTTGGGTTTATGCATTTGGGCCAAGTATTGGGCAGCCCATAAGACGTAAGTTGGGCGTAGCCTGGACGTACGCGGGGAGTAATGGTCTATGATGGAAGCGGGGACGCGCACACTTACGCGCAACATATCACTAGGTACGCGCAACGTAACTAAGCAGATAAGAAAACCCTAATTTAATGGTTTAAGACATATATAAAACCCATGATAGCCTCCCTATGGATTCTTACCAGGCTCCTCACCCCCAAAGAAACCCTAATACGTCCTTACCTTCTTTTTTGTGTGATTTTGCTCCTTGTAAGGGTTTTAGTGAGAAAGAAGTTGTAGAGAATGAAAGCAAAGGTTGAAGAAGAAGCTTGAGCTCAGGGATCCGGTCTAGACTCACTCTTTGTCACCAAAAGAAGGTATAATGTACTGAACTTTCTTCCTCATATGCTAGATCTAGAGTTATTGAAGTTTTGGACCTTTTTAGGTCCAATGGTTGGACCTTGATAATGGAGTTTCATTTTTGAGCTTGGGATTGCCATCCGTTAGGCTCAAAGCACCTCATTAGCAATAAAGTTTCGATCTTGGAGGTTTTCATGAGGCCATGCAAGAGATCTAGTCATTTCTTTGGATTTAGGATATTGTTTTTTGAAGTTTGAACCTTTATGAGTTACCCAAGCCATCAAGTAAGCAACTTTATGGCTTAGGACAGAGAATAAGATATGGATCTGAATTTGTAGCTTCTGAATCAAAGCATTAAGAACTTAATAAGAAGGTGGCTTAAATGGGTTGTACGCTGGGCATACAAGGAGGTACGCACGGCGTACAAGCCAGCAGCCAGTACGCCCAGCGTACCTTGGGGTACCCCCCGCGTATGCGATCAGTTTGGGCTTCTAGCTTTTGGGCCTCAGTGTGGGCTGTGTTTTGGACTTAGAATCTTTAGGGCCTTAGGAGTCTTCAGAAGTCTATGAATATGGGCCTTGTTTAGGTGTTGGGCCTAGAGTAAGACCCAATAAAGAGATTTAGGCCCAATATAGAAAATGGCTACCATTAGTGGGGCTTTAGTGGGCTATTGGAGGACTTAGAAAGAGTTGAGGGTTTGGGCCATGTTTGTGACCCACACCATAGCAGGGGTAAAATGGTCATTTTACCCTAAGGTTTGTTATCAGTATTTTATTTTGTATTTATGGGATTTGTAGCCGAGGAGTTTCGGAGCGGCAGTCAGACAGTTTCAGATTTAGCATCTCAGCAGCCAACGTTACGAGGTGACTTTTCCTTCTAGTAGGAACGGGTCTATAGCCACAATGCCAACCCGTTTAGTTAGTAGTAGTTCCAGACTGTAGTCTGATGCAGTAGTTAGAGTGCTTGATGTCTTTGTGATTCAAGCTTGTTTTGTGTATGTGTTCCGGACTCTGGTCCGATACAGTATGCAATATATGTGTTCATGCTAGTTGATATGTTTATGCTATGCTATGTTCAGTCAGTTTCCGGACTTCGGTCTGATGCAGGGGACAAGGTGTCAGTCAGTTCCGGACTTCGGTCCGATGCAGTTTTCGGACTTCGGTCCGATGCAGAGTGCAAGGCCCTTGTTAGTTTCGGACTTCGGTCCGATGCAGTTTCCGGACTTCGGTCCGATGCAGTGTCTGGACTTTGGTCCGATGCAGTGGGCAAGGCCCAGTTGTTGCTTATTTGTTATTGTATTGTATGTTGTAGTTTGGGGGAGCTCACTAAGCTTTGTGCTTACAGTTTTAGTTTTTGTTTCAGGTACTTCCGCAAGCAAAGGGAAGAGCTCGGATTGATGGCATCGCACACACCACGGCTTCAGTTTTATCCTGGGTGTTTTATTCTGATATTTTGATATGATTGATACAGTTTGTTTTGACATAGTTACTATGACTTTTGAGCTATTCATTCCATGGTTTTTATTATATATGACATTCGATGATGTGATTTTTAGTAATATTAAAACAAACATTTTGGGTCGTATTTTGGGTTGTTACACTTATATTCCTCTTTAAAGCTTTATCATTTAGCGTAATGTATCATATTCTCATGAGATCTTGGCAAATCTATGTTTATGGTTAAGCTAAAACACTACAACTTATCACACACATCGTACCACTCTTGCTCTTTTTCCTCTAATAAAATTGATTAATAAATCATCATATGAAACAACACGCTCATGAAATCTCGCAATACTATGTCAATGAATGGTAGTTTAAGCCTACACTATTAAGAGACATAAAAAACTTACTATCTATCACAAGCAACACACTGATCACTTTTGCTTATGTTTATTGCCGATGATGCCATATTTCACTTATGCAATTTCCTTATCTCAACGGCAACTTTTTGGATTATGATTAAAAGATTTATCAATATCTTGGGATAAAAGATCTTTACAACACATATATCTTCTATCATGATTATGTAAAAAGGAAGGAACATTTTAGTAAAAATTAGGAATACTCCTTCCTAGGTCAATTGTACAAGCTATTCAAGTAATTATCTCTCTCTCTCTCTCTCTCTCTCTCTCTCTCTCTCTCTCTTCAAAAAGGGCTCTCTCAACCATCATCTTCCTCAAGCTTTAACCATGATGAAATCATTGTATGAGATTGTTCCCAGTATCTTTGTCGTCAAAGGTCCTCATACCCCTTATTCTCCTATCATCATTCAATCGAACAATGTGGCATTCTCTGATGACATCCCAAAGTAATTTTTTATCTCAAGAATCAATGATTTTGTCGACTATGTCAAGATCTGTCCTCTTTGATATGCATTATATGGCTTCCTAGACCCACTCTACCCTAAACAAGTATGTGAGTTCTACTATTCATGCTTTGTTGATTTTGATGCTCGAACCATTACTGGAACCACTCGAAATGGTCAGCATAGGGTTACTATTGATGTGGAAGCTTTTTGAACTATTGTTCATCTTCCTCGATTGCAAATTACTTTGAAACTCCCTCAGAAGAAAGTTACAAGTCCGTTTGTGAAAAATTAGGGTATAATCTCAATCTTCAGGGCATCACTTGTGATCCATACAAAAACACTCTTCGTCGGTGTTTTCATGTAGGATGGAAGTATTTAAAAAGTGTAATTTGCAAGTGTCTTGCACACAAGACTGATAATTTAGATCAACTGGATTTATTTGAGTAAAGGATATTATTTTATATTGTGTACAAAAAAATTTTGGATTTTGCTTAAATTTTTCTTGATCTAGTGATTGATTGCATTACTGGAAACAAGAAGCCAATGTATGTTCCCTATCCTAGATGGATAGGACTAATCTAAACTCTTGAGGAAGGTTATGTTGAAAGTCATGGGCTTATTATTTCAATTCCTTCCCTTTCCTCAAAGATTATTAATGCCGCTACACCTGAAGGTGACTTGCTTATTACTGAAAGATTCAAAAATGGATTAAAAAACCTTATGTGGTTGAATCCTCTGACTCTGAAGAAGAGAATGATCAGAATAATGAAGGGGGTGATGAAGAGGAAGACACTGAGATTGAACTGGATGAACCTGTCATCATGTAAATGACTCTGTTCAAGGAATGAACTCGCATCCAAGGATGAACAAGCACATTCGATTATCCTCTACTTCTTCATCCACTCCATCTACAGGTGATGTTTCACAACATGGATCAACCTCACCTTTTGCGGTAACTACTGAGCCACTGATTCAAAATGTGGTATCTCCATGACTAGCATTTCTTTCTTCTCAAACTGAGAATGTTCCTCCGATGCCAACCCCTATTCCGACTGCTACTGTTTATCAGGGGGAATCTAGCTCTAACTTTGAAACAACTATACTTTCTCAACTTTCTCAACCGGTGAAAATAACTCGGTTTTTGGGAAGAAGATTATCTAAAGTTGAAAAAGATGTTGTTGAGATGAAGCGATTTATGGCATTAGTTGATGATGATGATGATGACGATATGGTTGTTGACAATACCCCACCAAAATCTCCATGTAACCCTCCACCACCATCATCAAATCCTCCTCTGCCACCTCCTCTACCATCTCATCCTCCTCCTTACACTCCTTCATCACCTTTTGGTTCTCCTCCCCAATATAATGTTGCCAAAAAGGGGGAGAATCATCAAGGGTTTCCTGATCAATAAATGAAAATGGTGGTAATTGCATCAACTCCATCTCAGCTTGAGATGCCTAAATCTAGAAGAGCACAAGAGCTGGACCACTGGATCATCGATTGACCTTGTGGCTGTTCCCATTGATGGGTTTTGGTCATAAGACACCTATGTGCTCATACAAACCCTAATGCTTGGATCTAGGTTTCTCTATTGTACATGCTTTGAATCCAAGACTTCAAACCCTAATTCTAGTATATGAAATTTGATATTAACATATAATTAGGTTTAAGATATTACCTTGATTGTTATGTAGTAATAACAATCCTAATTCCTCCTTGAATTGACTTTGGAATGCTTAGAGTCACAAGTGTCACTCCTCTAATGGCTTACAAACACCAAGAGCAAATGGAGAAGGTATAAAGAGAGAGGAGAGAGGTTAGAATTCATCCTTAGGACTCCTTGGGAAGGGATACACGAATTCATGAGCCAAGGGGTGTTTATACAGGTGTAGAGATAGGGTTTCAGTCATTATCCTTATCTGGTTGCTTATCCACAAAGCAACCCATAAGATAATCCTTGAATCCTTATCATAGTCGAATTCTAAGGCCTTATCACCTCAAATTCGTTCACCCTATATTTAAGATAATCCTTACCTTATTTTGTAACTATCACATAATTACAAATCAGCCCCTCTAGTTTAATTAATTACACTTGATCACAAAATTAATTCCTAATTAATTATTGACCAATATTAATTAAACAAATATGATTTCTCCTTTAATATATTATTCTTATAACATATTAATAAATCATATTATCCTCTCTCTCTATTATATTTCTCCAATCAAGTTGCTTTGGTGAAGGCAACCCAAAAGGACCATGCACCATCGGGTCAAGTACATACCAAAATAGTTATGGACTTAGACACTAATCCAACAGTCTCCCACTTGGATAAGTCTAATAACTATTCTGCGTATGACTTCAGATCCTGATCTGCAATCGTAGCTTTCCAAAGCCGCTGTCAACTCTGATCCTATCAGATACGCGTGTCCTTAGATAAGGGATCATATATTCCTCCATTCAAGATATCATATGAGATATAATTTCTAACCATTCTCTTTGTACTATTTCTCGATTTCTGATTTATGACGACTGACTAATTGAACAAATCAAATTAGCCCTAGCCCGGCCGAGCATTTACGTTTGTCATCACTAAACCATCGAGGGGCCCAAAGATATCGCTTTTATTCTTTGAATAAAAGGAACGGATAAACTTTGATACAATGCTTGCTTGCACTCACTCACCGAATCACACACAACAATATGTTTTATAACACCAAGTTACTAGTGCGTTTACATATTATCAATGTGCAACCGATTCGCAAGATACAACTCACACATCTCGGTTTCAAGAATATAAGATGTTATCGTCTCACCAATCACTCGTGATACAATTCATGGAGTGATCCAAGTGAGCGTGGGTTTAATCCAATGCTCAAATTCATATGCATAAGCACTCATGAATGTTGCAGCAAACATTTGCTTATGTCTAATACTCTTTTAGACAATCCACACACCAATTCACGACAGTCTTCATTCATATTTACTTCCAACATATGAACGACTGTGGCCCGTTTGAATAATTCGATTATTCTTCATAAACTCAATTATTCTGGAAGTCAAAACATGCAAAGTGAAACACAAGAATAATACTAATCCCATATGGCCTCAACCCTTTGAGGATAAATAAAACACCTTTTATTTATCACCATATCGATTACTCATTATTTGTCGTTTCGGGTAATCAACTTCTTACTTGAATTATTACACTTGTCCCATGCTCCTAGCATGCACACAATGTTTAACTATGGTTCTTACTTTGTGAAATAGATCACATTGAACACATTTCCAATCATTCTCATTTTACAACTCCAAATCCTTTTTCATAAGTGTAAGAATATCAAATTCTTGATACTTATAGAATATGCTAGATTCTAACACTTTATGCAACGATCCTTTAGTAATGTCACTGCACCAAAGTCACAAAGACTATTGCCAATGATAATACAAAGTCCTCTATCGGAGATTGTTACAAGACAATTCCTTAGATATGATGTCTCTCTCTCAAAGTACATTCCTTTGAACATCCTTTTGCATAAAAGTTTCTAATCTAGTCATAGATTTTTTTAATATTTAATTCCCAATATGGACACACTTCCATATTTTCCATATGACAACTCATTCTTAATAGAATCTTATCTATTCATAATGATGTCTATATGGTCCATCCAATATGAGAACATTTCCATATCCTCCAATACTATACTTCCAACTACTCACAAGCGACCAATCCTCGTCGAAATTTGGATTGTCCTTTGATAGTTGTTTAATTATTTTAGTCAAAACCAATTCTAGTCCCTTTTCCCTCTAAATGCGCTAGACATTTGGAAAATTTTAGAATGGTCAAACATTAAATCATTTGCAATGGATCCTATACCCGAAGCGTATGGGACACGATGCACAATGTTTTATTTGCTATGTTCTCAAAATTCGAATTGTGAAGAGGAATGCCGTAATCATAATCGAAATTTTAAGAACACACTATGTACCCTTGACTAAGTTTATTAACATTTCTCAACCTAATCCTTTAGATTTGAAATGAAGCATAATATTCTCTCCCTTAATTATAGCAAAACAACTATACAACCCTTACGACTTTGCAAGGTATAACTCTTGTTTTTCTATAATTAATATTGCCAACTTGCAAAACTTTCCATAATAATCATACAATCATAACTTTTATGCTCCCACTATCATGATGATTACTATAAAACATAACACTTATGCTCCCACTAGCTTCGACATGTATTCATAAACATCGTAACTTTCAGAAAGACAATACTTATTGAATTTCTTAAGTCCATGTTTCTAATACTTAGTGCTTTGATAATCTTTTATCAAGGCTTCTTGAACTTATACACCTTTGCCTTTAGATAGTTCATATGTGTGTCTCAACAATTAAGACTAATTGCCAAACCTCACAATTCAAATTATGGAAAGGGATACCGTAACCATGATTGAATTCGAGAATGCAATTTTACAATCACTATCTTCTTAAAATCTTTCTTAGTGAAAGCATTTCCTCACAATCATTTTCATGAAGGAGGAAATCTTATGACACTTAGATTTAAAGCAGTGTATTCGTTCCTATCCATGTGAATTTGTTAAAAACAGAGTTTACGACAAATTCAAACTCATATGGATCGAACTTTCTTAATCTTGATTTCTTTCCTTATGGTAGCACAGCTGCCCACCACGTCTTCCAAGTAGTTAAGCATCTCACATTTTTCCTATCAATGTACCTTTCATTGATCAAGGTGCCTTGCCTTTTATGCGTTCAAAATGAGAACTCATAGAACTCACATGCATAATTAACTCAATTGGAATGGCATAGAAACAAAATAACGTCAACACGATAGGTTGTAAACCTCAACTCGTGTGCTAGTGATGATCAATAAGGTTTATTTGATTTGTTCTTGAAACTTTTCAAGACTATAAAGACTCCCACTGACTCCTTGACATATACGATTCTTTTGTCAATAAACATTTCTTGATAAACAAATATTCAAGAGTTAGTGTAGTTTTTATCAAAACACTTCATAAATTGGTCCTAGTCGATCTTTGTCTTATTCAAGACATCACAACTTTCCACATTTGATGAATGTTATAAACCTTTAATACTTTTCACTCATTGTCACAATCTTAACTTTAAGACTTGTTATTGGAACGAAGTATGATAGACTTCTTGATCTAACCATTTCTTCAATCCTTGATTCCTCTTCTTAAACATACAATTGTACTAAGACTCACTTAGAGGATCAATTGAGATATGGTTCTTAATCATTAAGACTTATCATAAAACATAAAAGCTACTCTCGCTTCTTCTTAGAATGGAGAAACTCTTATCTTTCTGCCTACTTGATTCTTCTTATTCGTTCTACTATTGATCTAAACCCTTTAATCAATTCAGAATTACACTTAATCTTGTAAGTGTAATCATATTTACTAAGCCTTTAGTAAATCATGACGAATATCTTTGTTACTCTTATGGTGAACTTGATCAACACACAACTTTGTGTACTCGATCTCCTAGTCCTTCACTTAACACTTTGTCAACGAATTTGTCTAATTTCCAAATATGCAATTTCTCATTCATCATGCAACCAAGTTGCGTGATTCCAAATTTCAGTCCAATTGAAACTTTGGGCAATGAGAAACTCTCCCTATTTGGTAAATTCTCGACATTCCCATAAATAACATAACTAAGAATCATATCCATTCGTTGTAGAAATATGCAAACATCAATTTTCATAACGATTTCATTGCAAGGAAGTAAACAAATAAATATGTCAAAATTTATTTTATTTATAAAAGTAGCGGAAAAACATTTGTCCTTACATTGCAAAATCTATTGAAAACTATGTAAAAAGAAAATTTCTAACAACTCTATCATAACTATCTAAGCTCAAAATCCAATCTTCAAGTCCATGCGATCAAGATCCATCTCTTGTGATTAGATTCATCTTGCTCTCTTATCAAGCTTTCTTTCTTTTCACCGATCCTTCAAAACATTCAAATTCAATCTTATCACATCATGTATTAAGAATCAATGAATAGGAACTTAACGGAGTTAGATAGTGGATTTTACCTGAAGCGTAGTCATACTTTTGACTCTCCCATCTCTTAGATCTCTTAGGTAAATAAGGCAACTTCGTCTCCAATGCCCCTTCTCTTAGCAATAAAAGCAAATTGACTCCTTTTGGAACAACACATGGAACTACTTCAGACATCGCCTTTCTCTTATGATCAAACTTTTTTGATCATTTCATATCTTTCATTTCCATTGTCTATATCCATAGAGGTCTCGAAGGCAGATTCACCAATCAACTTTGCTTTTCTATTGCGCCAAACCATTGCTGATTCAGCAGCAATAAGCATATAGGTGAGATCTATAAGGGTCACGTCGCGGT